CATGGTCTCTTCAGAAATGCAGGTTATAGACCAGCAAGGGCTTTGTTAGTCAGCTTCCCATTAATGTGATAAAATACCTGAGGTTAGGGTTGGAGAGATGGCTCAGTGGTTAAGAGCTCCGACTGCTTTTCCAGAGGTCCTGAGTTCAATTCCCGGCAACCACATGGTGGCTCACAACCATCTGTACCTTCTACTGTTCTCTTCTGGCATTCAGCTGTACATAATGATAGAACATTCAAAATAAATAAATAAAATCTTAAAAAAAGAAAGAAGAAAAAAAATACCTGAGGTTAGCAATGTTTAAGCAGCAATGGCTTTTTTTGGCTCAGGTTTTCAGGGGTTTCAGATCTTTGAAAAAGCCATTTGGTATCTTTGCTTGGGCCTGTGGTAGCACATGGAAGAGAAGGACTATTCATTTCATGATACTAGGAGGCACATAGCTAGACAAAAAGGGGCCAGGGTTCCAATACCTCCATTAAGGTCACACCTCAAGTGACCTAACTTCCTCCCACTAGGCCTTGGGCCTAAAGGGTCTACCATCTTCCCCCATAGTTCCCTAAGCTAGGGACCAACCCTTCAACACACAGGCCTTTTGGGGGCATTCAAATACCAAACTGGATCAAGTTTGCTCTCAAGTCACCTACGCCTGTGGTTGGTTGAGGACAAATTGAGATGAGCCAGACAAAAAGTACAAAGTTAAAAAGAAATGGGTCCTGTATCAGAAACAGTAGAGAACTCCCTCATGAAATCCAGTTTAAATTTTGACAGTGAAGGGAGGGATAAAGCAGGACAGAGGTATTCTACAAGAAGTAAAAGTCTGGGAAGAAAAATGAGGTTATAGGTGAAAACAACCAGAAACAAACTACATCAAAAGCTGCATAGTCAGAAGCACAGCAGGGGCTCTTAGGATAATTTCGTGCTGATCCCAGCTCTCCTCTTTACAGCAACATAACTCAGTCACCTGTGTTTTGAATGGAGTGACAATTGCAGTCATCATCACTTAAGGACAGGAATGCATCTTGAGAAAGGGGTCCTTGTAGGATTTTGTGACTGTCAGATTGTGTTTAACATTCTCAGATGGTGGAGGTCAATAACTCAATGGGAACTTTATACAATCAAGACACACAGTAGAACACAGAAGTGAGAGGCTGCTCCAGGGGAACCTCCTTTTGATGTGTACAGAACAGAAGCATATCTGGAGAGACCCCCTACATATTCAAGAGTTTCCAGAAGACTTAAATTTCACCTACTGAAGCATTCTTGTTATCAGACACATTCATGTCCATAAACTGTCTGCCTGATTAACCTGGTAGGATTTAGAATCAACATGAAAACAAATCTCTGGGCATGTCTAGATTAAGTTGAGGTGGGAAAACCCAGACTAAGTGTGAGAAGTAGCATCTCTCTCTCTCTCTCTCTCTCTCTCTCTCTCTCTCTCTCTGTGTGTGTGTGGGGGGGGGTTCTGTACTGAATTTTTAAAAAATGAAAGCAATTAAGCACAGCACAGCATTTAATTTATCACTCTCTGATCTTTGCTTCCTGACTGTTGATAAAATGTGTGAACTTCAGCCAGGTGGTGCACACCTTTAACCCAGCAAAGGCAGGTGGATCTCTGTGAATTTGAGGCCAGCCTGGTCTACAAAAGCGAGTCCAGGACAGCCAAGGCTACACAGATAAACCTTGTCTCAAAAACAAAACAAAACAAACAAAAAGAATGTGTGAACTGCAGAATAGCCACTTCTATAGTGCCTGGCCATGATGGGCCGTATCTCCTGAAACTGTAAGCCAAAACAAACCCATTTTCCCTTAGGTTCATTTTGTCAGATATTTTGTTGCAACAGTGAGACAAGCCCTCGGTTTGAAGGGTAGGATGGTTATCTTGTCTTTGTGACTGGGTTTGGAGTCACCTAGGAGATAACCGTCTGGCCTGGTTACCAGTCAACTCTCCTACTGCAGATCTGGACAATCCTCTGCAGTGGGGTGGAGACCTTTCACATTCCTTTGCAGTGGGGTGGGTCTTGTCTCAACTCATCTGCTTCTCCTGCCTTCTGGAAAAGTACTGGGAGAATTTAGTTTAACATAGGGTATAAAATTTATAAAGAAACTTGTAAAGTTAACTTGTTCCTTTCACCGTGTGGTGACTGATAAAAAGAAGGAAGTGAGCTGAGCACCAGCACTCATCTGCTTCCTCACTCAGACTCATTGTGACCAACACCTAATGCTCCAACCACCACACTTTCCCCCTCTAGGACAGACTGTATCTTCAGTGAGCCCATTATTCTTTCCTCTTCTCAGTTGTCAAGTGTTTTGTCACAAGGAGAAGGTAACGTACACAAGGGTCACTGACCCAATGTGGTGGGGAGGCATGGCAGAGAGCAGGCCACAGCTGTTTGTTATGTGGCACAGGGAGCAGAAAGGGGTCAGACAGGAGTCAGGGCTGGGCTATAAACCCCTCATTGACCTGTTTTCTCCAGTCAGGCCCCACTCCCTGAAAGTTTCACAAGCTCCTACAACAACACAGTCAGCTAGGGGACAAGTATTCAAATACAAGTCTGCAGGGGACATTTCACATTCAAATGGTAACACACGGTCCTTGGAGGACCACATTATTGGGAAATGGGGTGTTAACTTGTTTATGCTCCTGGGGCATAGTCATTCAAGTTGGCTCAGAACAAGCCAATTCTTTCAGGATTGTCATTGTTTTATTTATATCAATAGTAAACACTGGAACTTCCTAATTATTTTCTTTTAACCATGCTAAGGATTGAATCTAGAGCTTTGCAAATGCTAAGCAAGTGCTGTACTACTATTTGCCCAGCCCCGAGAGAGTTTGCTTACAGATGGAATATATATTCTATAATGACAATAGGAAGTAGAGTAAGTTCTCAAGCAGGTAACATTGTGATAACATTGTCTATTGTGATAGATACCTTACTGTTGGAAGTTGGTCTGATGCGGGTTACTGGCCCTTAAGATCTGGTTACACCTATCTTTTGTTTTGCAAACCTGCCTAAGACATTTATGATTGGTTGTTTAAACAGCCTATACCTGGGCAGAGCAGAATGGGGTGGGCATAGCTAAGGTTCCCAGGTTTTGGAGGACAGAGAGGCTCATGGGAGACATAGATGGACAGGAAGAGAGGAGGAAAGAGGCTGCCACTATAGGTTAGTGTGGAGAAAAAAGCATGTGGGTGAGGAGGAAGGACTCCAATAATGAAGATGAAGAATAAAAACAAGTACCATGGGAATATGTATGGAAGGTGGACCAGATGAGGATTAGGTAGATGGCACTGGATGGGGCTGGAAGATGGCTGGTTAGGATATTGAGAAATGTAAGGAAATATCTGCCTGGCCCAAGGAAAAATAAGGCAATTATAAATTTAAGAGGTGTCTGGGTCTTATTTGTGATAGCAGGTTAGATAATACCTGTGATAATCATAGGGCAAATAATAATAAACATTATATAGCCCAAAAGCCATTTTTTATTATACTACAACACTGTACACAATATTCAAAACGTTTACTTTTTTTGTGTGTGGAGGTCAGAGAACAACTCAGGTTCTCTGAGTTGTTGGTTCTCTCCTTCTACCATGTACATCCCAGGGACTGAACTCAGGGTGTCAGGTTTAGTGGCAAGTGCCTTTATCCATGAACCAGCCCTGTACAAAATGTTGTGTGCTATATCTTTTAGTTGGCATTTTAATATGTGTTTATAATACGACTTGCTCATATTCACACACCCTCTGCTTTCTTGCGTCTTGCGTCATGCCAAGGGCAGCACGAGTCCAAGTGACTCACTGCTGTGACACTCAACAGGTGCCGCATCACTGGATGACAGGACTTCTTTAGTTTTTCACATGTAAACCTACGTGGCTACTGTTTTATGTACAGTTCTACTGTTGAGGAAGATGTCATTATTTGGTGCATGGCTATATTTGTGAATAGCTCAGTCACTGAGGTATATTATTTTGTGTGTGTTAGGGGCCAACCCCAAAGCCTTATGCATGCTAGGCAAGTGCCATACCACTCTACTCCAAACCCCTCTTGTCATTTTTATTCATCTAATGATGCCCTGCTTCTTTCGGTGAGGGAAAAAAGAAAATGGACACAAGAAACCAGCAACTGTTCTATATCCACTTGATTCCTTTATTATTCCATTGTAATAATTTTGGACATGAGCTGCCTTTAACAGACTTTTTCCTTGAGCCTCAAAGATTCGAAGACTTGAGGTCAGCTAGTATTGTCGTCGGTCAATTGCCTGGGCCTTTGATCACCTATCTGAGAACAAATATATACGGACAGGGCAGCAATCTGCCCTGCAATTTCTAGGAGCACCTGGACCTTAAAGCTCCCAAGGAGCTTTCATGTAACTCAGTCAGCCAGGAAATAGCTTCCAGAAGGCTGAGATGACTCAAGCTCCCAGGTAACTATATTGTCCAGATCTGACTGCAGATTCCCCCCACCCCACCCCGTGGGTGGCTGTGGCAGAAGGGTCACACCTTGGGCCATGTTGCCTGGGAACTTGTGTCAGTTATTCAGGCCCTTGGTGCCTTAGCTTTACCATCTGAGGATGGGGTAACAAGGCCCCTTCATGGTATCTGGGCTTACGTCTGTGTTTGCCACCACTGTTTTTCAGCGAAGGACAAGCTCAGGAGACAGTTATCCCTGGCCACTCCCAAAACTTGCCTCAAAGCCTGGAGGCTGAGCATCCAGCATTCTGCACTCTCTGCCCTGTTCTTCACAAACCTTGTTTTCAAAGTCTAGCAAGGTGCAGATTAAGCAGGAGCTGCTTCTTCAGGGCGCTGACTCAAGCCTAACACGGGGGGGGGGGGGGGAGGGGGACACCAGACAGAAGCAGAGTGGAGAAGTCTTGTCGCAGGTTTAGAAAGGGGCGGAGACTCGGGTGAAGTAAAGCCAGTCAAGGCAGGATGGGGAGGAAGGAAGGAGCCTGAACACTCCACCCGGGAGGTCACAGTCACAGTAGCACAGGGACAGCACCGGATGAGAGACATGGCAGGGGACCAGCTCATGCTGCAGAATGGCCTTCTGGGAGTGTGCAGCTGTAGGGACCTGGCAACCTCCCTGAGCTGAGAATTCTCCAAGGCCCCTCCTCCCAGCTGCTCTCAGTTTCAGTTTTGTTTTCTTGTGTGAAAAAAGAAGAAAAAAAACGAAAGTCTACAGAAATACTCCAAGGAGCAGACCATGGAGGCTGACTTCCAGGTGTGCAGGAACTGGTAAGAAGGCATTTTCTCCAGGGCTGGCCAGAGAGGGGCAGCGCAGGAAAAAAAAAAAAAAAAAAAAAAAAAAAGCTTTTTGAGGTGAGAAGAATGAGGGACACTCCAGAGGGCACTAAGCATATGGTATTGCATGGAAGGAGCCAAACATTCTACTGAGCTGTAGTATCCCCAGCTCTATTTTTCCTTTTCATTTTGAGACAGGTTCTCACTAAGTTGCCCAGGTTTATCTTGACCTCACTCTATAGCATAAGTCAGCCTTGAACTAGCCATCCTCTGGGCTCAGTCTTATGAACAGCTGGGATTACAGGCCTGCTAACTTGTACATGTTTTAAGTACACCTTTTGATATGTTATCTGTGAAACCATCTCACAATGTAGGAAATTTATCATCACTTTCAAAAATTGCCCTGTTGACCTGGTAATGCTTTCTTACCAGTTTTTCCTCCTACCCTCCGGGGCAGTGTGGTACTTATTTTATGATAATAAATTTTTCTTTTTTCATGAGCACAAGCAGGGTAGGAGGGCATCATAAGCATTAGTATATTTCCCATGCTGCAGGCTGGGAATTGCTTGCCCAAGCTAAGCAACGAGGCTTCGTGTTTATACCAAAACAATGAACCTTTCTCCCCCTACTTTATCCTGAAGCAAAAGAAACGTGCCCTCTCTCCACTTCACCCTCCACGAGGCCCACTGCCTGCACTTCCTGGCCCTTTGCCCAGAATGTGAGGAGCCCATCTTACAGTCAAAGATGAAGGAGCATGTAGAAGCTGTGCACCAGCAGGTGAGCAGGTGGCGGGTGGGACAGGGGCAGGGGGCAGCAACTGGAGTTCAGCCCTCCCTGGCCCTGTGGGTAAGTTTTTTAGCTCCTTCATGTTTAGTCTCCTTTTGGGAAAAGGTATTTTTGTTTTGGTTTGGTTTGGTTTTTGTTTTTTGTTTGTTTTTCTTTTTTTGGTTTGGTTTGGTTTTGGTTTTGATTGGTTTGTTTTGTGCTACACTGAGGCTGTTCCCGGTTTTTCCCTTTGTACTCTCCACTGAAGGGCTATGGGTCTGGCAGGACAGCAGATCCATTTTAAGAAAGGCTAACCATTCTTCAGAGACTTGTAAGGAGGTGGCAAGCAGGCCCAGCTGAATCTTCTTTCCTACCTTTTTGAGTCAGTCCCTCTTGTGGCTTTATCTTTCTGAGAATTAAGCTCAGGCAACCACTTAGATTTAAGCTGGTCCAACAAACACTTTTTGATCCCTAGACTAGGTGCTAGAGGAAAACATAAGCAGCCATTCTTGGTCTCTGCCCTCTAGGATCTAATGGACCTGCATGTGAAGTATGGCTAGCCTGAGTGATGTAAGAAGAGGCCAGAGGCTGGAACCCACATTTCTGTATATAGTTAAGGCTACTGCTTTGATGAAACCCTGTGACTAAAGCAACTTGGGGAAGAAAAGATTTGTCTTACATGTCTGTATCACTGTTCATCATCAAAGGATATTAAGACAGGAACTCAAAAAGAACAGGAATCCAGAGGCAGGAACTGATGCAGAGGCCATGAAGGGGTGCTGCTTACTGGCTTGCCCCCATGGCTTGCTCAGCCTGTTTTCTTATAGAACCCAGGACCACCAGCCCAGGGATGGCACCACCCACGGTGGACTGGGCCCTCACTCATCAATCTCTATTTAAGAAAATGTCCTATAGCCATTTTTTAGAGAAGCATTTTCTCAATTGAGGTTCCCTCCTTTCAGATAACTCTAGCTTCTGTCAAGTCGACATACCAGCCAGTATAGTTTGGGTATTCTGTACTATGTCAGAAGCATTTTGTAAGCCTTCCCATGCTGGAGTTGGAGTGAATTCTCCTCCATAGGCAAGTGGGAGAAAGAGGCAGAGAGGGGAGGATATGCCAGTCATAAAGATTCCCCTAACCAGTCCCTCCCCTCCCGAGGGGCTAGGAGAACAGTGAAGAACCATGCCACCCAGAGACGAAGATTCTTCTGCACATGTACATGCTTGCATACATGGCATGTGTACATGCTTGACAGGAGAGAGTCCCTTGGTCTAAGAGTGGTTACTTTTGTTAACTTGACCCAGGTTATGGTCACCTGGGAAGAAGGACTCTCAGTTGAAGAATTCCATCAGCTTGGTGTGTGTCTACAGGCATTTTCCTGATTAATGTCTGATGCAGGAGATCCCAGCACACTGTGGGCAGTACCATGCCTGGGCAGGTGGTCCTGGGTTGTAAAGAAAGCAAGCTGAGTAAGCTAGTATGCAGCACCCCTCCATGGCTTCTGCTTCAGCTCCTGCCTCCAGGTTCCTTCCTTGAGTTCCTGCCCTGACTCCCCAGTGATGGGCTGTGATGTAGCAGTGCAAGTGAAATAAACCCTTTTCTCCGCAGGTTGCTTTTGGTCATGGTGTTTATCACAGCAACAGAGAGTAAAGTAGGACAAGGAATCAAAGAGAATTACTAGTTGAATTACTAGTTCCCAAGGGCAGTCTCTTGCCAATACTTTCTCTAATTGGCTTCAATTCCCTAGGGAGTTGGGGTTGTGTCTTCCATTTTCCCCATGACCAAGGAGAGCCAACAGCACCCTGCCAAGTGCAAGTTCTGTGAGCTGGCTGTTCATCCCAGCAATCTGGATATCCACGGGTCCCACTGTGGCAGCCAGACAGAGCACTGTCTACACTGCAACCAGCCCATTATACTCCGAGCACTGGCCCAGCACAAAGATGTGTGTCAGAGTTCAAAGGGCAGGCCTGAGGAAGGTGAGCAGCAGGGAGACACCAGGGCAGGATGCAAGGAATGGAATCCTTGATGGCACTGGAGAGATGAGTGTCCATTCTGTATGTTTCCATTAAACTGGAGTAGCCTTCTTGTGTATCTGTAGTGGCCTTCAATATCTTAACCAGGGAAAACAAGAGGCCAGGAATGGGGGTGTTAGAACTGCACAGAAGAGGAAGAGAAAAACCATGGGGAATCCTAAATGTGAAGGGTTTTCTTTACATTCCAATGACATAACCCTAGCCTGGTAAGGCACATCTGAATCATCCTATAGGTGAAAAACATACGGAGAGATTAGGAAACAAGACTATGCACTCCAGCTTCCAGCACTATACCCAGATCCTAGGCTATTGCTCATTTTTATAATTCTGTGATTTAAAAATGACGCTGATGAGAAGAAGTAGCAGCTTAAGGAAGAAAAGGTTTATTGTCCTCACAATTTGAGGAAATAACAGCCTTGTTATGTTGGGGAAAACATGATAGCAGGAGTGTGAGGCACTGCACTGGCCACGCAAAGCCCACAGTCAGGGAACAGAAAGCACAAGATGTGGAACTGGGCTAAGAAACCTCTAAGCCTGCACCTAGCACCCCACTTCTTCCAGTGAGGCTCAACCTCATAAAGGTTCCATGACTTTCCAAAACAGCATTAGAAGCTAAATGTCCAAGTGTTCAAACACATGAGCTCATGAGGAGGGTGGAGGGTTTTCATTCAAACCATACCAAGTAGCAATGGCCAGATGGGAGGCTGCTGTAACTCAAGACTGAGGTTTGTACTGTCAGCTTTCTAGTATCACTTCATATTCTCTCTCTCTCTCTCTCTCTCTCTCTCTCTCTCTCCTCTCTCTCTATCTCTCTCCCTCTTTTCCCTCTCCCTCTTTCTCTCTTCCCTCTCCCCCTCTTGCTATCCCTCTCCTCCCTCTTCCTCTCCCTCTCCTCCCTCTCCCTCTTCTCCTTCTCCCGCTTTCCCTCCTCCCCCTCTTCCCTCTCCTCTCTCTCCCTCTCCTTCTCCTCCTTCTCCCTCTCCGCCTCCCTCTCTGTCTCCCTCTCCTCCTCCCTTTCCCTCTCCTCTCTTCCTCTCCCTCTCCTCTCTCTCCCTTTCCTCTCTCTACCCTAGTAGCCAGTTCATATGCCAAAAAGGCACAGTGTGAAAAGCAGATTCTGGATAAACTTTGCATGGCAACAATTATCAAAGGTTTGAATATTTGTTATTTCATTTCATTTTGTTTTGCTCTCTTCCAAGGTTTTCTTTGGGCAAATCTGGCATGCATAGTGGTTTTCATTTGTGCCTAACCCATCAAGGAGCAGTCCTGATAATTCCTGATGACCCTGATCACCTCTAATCATCACCATCCTTCAGGGCCAGGACCCTGCAAAGTACTCAACTGGGTCTGCCTTTTTAGGCTCTCTGCCCACATGGTATTTAGGCTGTGAACTCCCTGATGTGACTAAAAGGGCTTTTTTTTCATCTTTGTATAATAAAGCTCACTGCACACTGAGTATAAAAGGGGACTCCAAAGATGTCAGATGATGTAGTTGGTTGACTGACTGGTTTTACTTAGGAGCATTCCCAGACTGATCCCTCCGTAGCCTTAAATGCCTTTTAGTGCATCACCGAACCAAGATGCCCTCTTGTCTTATGGAGCTTTTTCCTCCTGAGAAACTTCCTACAGCTTCTCTCCTAAGAACTTGCCTCACCCTCTAGGACAAAGAGCTGTTCGTCTTTCTAAGCAATTCAGCTATTTAAAACAAACAAACAAAGAACACCCAGAATATCCCAGCACTCTGAGGCCATCCTGGTCGACAAGGTGAATTCCAGGCCAGCCAGAGTTACATAGTGAGACAGCAGAACTAGGTGGACCTAGCTCTTTGGTTATTGCAACAGCTGAATCATGCCATTCCTGGCAGTGTGGTAAAGCTTTTCCTTCTCATTCATCTTTCACAGCTAGGATTTTCCTCTCACTCAAGCCCCTGAGTTACAAGATCAACAACTCTTGGCTTCCAGGGCCTTGGTCCATTTGCACTGCTGTAACGGAAGACCACAGGCCGGGTAATTTCTACATGACAGAAATGTATTTTTCAATGTTCTGAAGCTTCAAAATCCAAGTTCAGAGTGTGGGCAACTGGAGTCTAGGGAGGAGGGTGTTGCTGCTGCCTCAAATGGCAGAGCAAAAGAGCAAGCTATCAGCTAACTAGGCTACTCAAAGCCTCTTTTATAATCCCATTTGTGTGGGAGGAGCCATCATGACCTTCACCTCCCAAACACGCATCCCCCTACAAGCATATATGTAACATACGGATTTTAATTTATTTTCTAGGAGACAAGGGGAGACAAGATTTCTCTACATAGCCCTGGCTGTGCAAAACAGGGTAGCCTTGAATTTACAGACATCCACCTGCCTCTACCTCCCCCCTCCCCAAGTGCTTGGGATTAAAGGCATATGCCATTATGCCTTATTTTGAAATTTATTCATGTGTATATGTGTGCACCTACTTGTCTGTATGTGCACTATGTGTGTGCAGAAGAGTGTGTCATACCCTTTAGAACTGGAGTTACAGGTGGTTGTGAGTTGCCTCACATGGGTGCTGAGAACTACCAAACTGGGTCCTCTATAAGAGCAGCAAGTCCCTTTATAACTTAGCCATCTCTCCAGCCCCCAAAACCTGGAATTTACAGGGATGCATTCAAACCTCCATGCATGGAACCTGAGTCTTCTTTTAGCCAAGTCAGCTGTAACACTGAATATCTACCTTATATTATTCAGCATTGTGTGTGTGTGTGTTGTGTAAAGGCCTGTGAGGATAGGTCTTTTCTTTCTACTATTTGAGTTCTAGAGATCAAATTCAGGTCTTCAGGCTTGACAGCAAGCACCCTAACCCACAGAGCCATTTTCCTGACCTTTGTCCATCATTTTCTAAGTGTATATAGGGGAGCCTTTTGGGTTATTTCAACTGCATTGTCCAACTGTTACAGTGAAGTAACTGCTTCTTTAATCTCACACATTACTAGAATATGCAGAAACAGTCCTTGATATACCTTCGGAACGGAAAGCCAATAATCCTTCCTTCATCCCTTGCAATTATGGAGACTGAAAAGCAAACATCCACATTGAGGAAAGATGTTCGTCCAAAGACAAAAATTAGAAGCAGTTCAAGAAAGCAAAAGACAAAGGATCAAAGTGACACAGCAGATCTGCCTTTGATGTCTGTGCTCCAGCAGGGGGCTGCTCTTCCTGCAAGAGATGAGGATGCCTATGACATCCTTCGAAGGTGTTGTCAGTGTGGAATCTTACTTCCCTTGCCCATTCTAAATGAACACCAGGTACCTTGCTCTCCCCTCACCCCTCCTGTCTCCTCACCCAGCTGGCAGCCTGCTGCACAGTGTCTCAAACTCACCCAACCCTTGAGGAGAGGGGGGCTTACCAGTGATGTGGCAGCTCCTCCCCTGCCTCCTCCTGCTTCTGTGTGCCCATGCACATTCTCCCCAGCTACCTGGCTTGTATTACTTCTCAGTCACTGGGTCACCTTTGAGGGTAGAACTGGATTTCTGCTCTGTGTCTGCAGCTAGACCAGGCCCTGTATGTGGCAACACTCCAAGGCAGTAGAGTGAATGATCGAAGCCCAGGGCTGTCAACAAAGTCCTAGTGGAGATAAAGCAGCTTTAGGCCTGAGAGCAGAAGGGCCTGGCTCCACCTGTGAAGGCAACTGGTGGCTTGCCTCTAACATACCCAGAGCTTGCGCTCTCATCCTGTTTTCCATCCAAGACTATTCTTCTTTTTTGTTTTTGCTTTTATTTTTCTAAGACAGGGTTTTCTCTGTGTAGCTCTGGATGTCAGATGTGAAACTCACTCTTTTTAAAATATTATTATTATTATTTATACAGCATCCTGCCTGCATGTGTGCCTATCTACCAGCAGAGGGCACCAGATCTCACTGTAGATGGTTATGAGCCACCATGTGGTTGCTGGGACCTGAACTCAGGACCTTTGGAAGAACAGTCAGTATTCTTGACCTCTGAGCCATCTCTCCAGCACCGCTGGAATTCCCTCTATAGACCAGGCTGGCCTTCAGTTTACAGAGATTCATCTGCCCCTGCCTCCCCAGTACGAGGATTAAAGGCACACAGCACCACTGCTCCACCAAATGTTTATATTCTAAATGATTGTTTTTTAAAAGCCATTTTGGAGAGAAAAGGGTTTATTTCAACTTACTGCTTGGGGAAGTTGGGGAAGTCATGAAGGAATGCTGCTTACTGGCATGCTTCCACATGGCCTATTCAGCCTCCTGTCTTATTGCAGCCATGACCACCAGCCGACTGGTGGTACTATCCACAAAAAACTGGGCCCTCCCCACAGCAATTATCAGAATCAAGAAAATGCCACATAGATTTGCTACAGGCCAATACGATGGAGACATTTTTCTCATTTGAGGTCTCTCTTCCCAGAAGACCCCAGCTTGTGTCAAGTTAGCAAAAACCTAACCAGCATACTCAGTGAGGTTTAGTGGTGAATTCCTGTAATTCTAGCACTTAGGAAAGACAAGGCAGGGGCTGAGGAGATGGCTAGGTGGTTAAGGTGCTTAACATGAGGATATGAGTTCAAGTTTGTAGCTACCATGCAGAAGCCAGGCACAATGACTTGTGCTGGACACCTCAGTGTGTTAGAGGAACAGAGACAGGTGAGTCCCAGCCAGCCAGTCTAGCCAAACTGGTGAGTTTGAGGTTCAATGAGAGACTGTCACAAAACAAAGCAGAGACACATCAAGAAAAGATACCTCTGGTCTTTACATATGGGAGCATGGACCCTTACACACATATCTGCACATAGGTGCCAACACCACACAACTTTTAAAAAGGAAGGCTGAGACAGAAGGACCCTTGCATTTGAGAACAGCCTAGGCTATGTAATGAGTTTAAGGCCAACTAAGTTACATAGTGAGACCCTGTGTCAAAAATAAATAACCAAATGAGGGGAGGGAAGACTAGATAAAACATTTTTCCATTATGCTTAAGGCCTGGATTTAGTCTTTAACATCACACATATGCACAAGCTAATTCTCCCCTGCTACTCCACTTCTCCAGCCATATCACTGAGAAAGCTAATTCAGCAGCCTGTGTTGTCCTTTCAAAAGTTCACCTTCTCTAACATGAACCCTATTGGTAAACACAGACCTGAATTGTTTGCCATCTGTGTTATCTTAGTTTATTTATTACTCTGTATGATGTGCAGTCCTTTGTAAAAGGGGGTCTACATTTTTTTCTAATTCATTTATGCATTAATAAGCTTTATTAAAATGAACTAATTTCCTCCTTAGTGGGGTCTTTCCACACTTTTCTCCATATTTGTCAGACTTACCAAGAAGAAATATAATATGCCCAATCAAATTTAAATTTCAAAGGACTATCTAAGTATGTCTGGAGGAATGTACAAAATCTACCATTTTCAGTATGAAAACGAATTTCATTGTGAAAGTACATTTAGAGCTCACTACTGAGTTGCAGGTTAGCAGGAGACACTGGGCCTCTTGTCTTCTCTGGCTAGCAGTAGGCACCCATTTGCCTGGGTGCTTCTTAGTTTATGTCAGGGTTGAAAAGTTGTTTTGCTGCATGATTGAGCCCCTGTACTAGAATAGAGGAGGCTCTGAAACCACCACCACCACTTATGGAAAAAGGTGGGCAAGAATTTTTCACAGTCGAGAATTACAAAAATACTGTTTTGTGCCAAATGGGAGTGCTAGCAATTTTTGTCTTTTCTTTAGAGACCTACAAGGTTTAAACTGCTTCAGCTGCTTGCTTCTGTTTGGCTGCTCCGAGTCTCCCCTAACCTTATTATGAAAAGAAGATCATTGTTGCTTGCACAGTGATTTTTTTTTTTTTTTTTTTTTTTTTTTTTTTAGTCTGTGAAACTGAAAGTCAGTGGGTCATCCTGTATTTTACCCAACAGCCCTATGAGATACCCATATACAAACAGAAACATTTGGGAGTGTTGCTACACAAATTCCTCCATCCCTCAGTTCTGTGACTTGGCACTAAACAAGTAAACAATGAGGCTCTCTCATTTCAGTGGCTACACAGAAGCCGTTCATGTGCTTCTTCCCATTTGCCCATGATGCTCACCTCCATTAGCCACTACCACAAATCTCCAGACACCCTCCTAGCTCACAGTTTCTTCTATCCCATCTCATTCCAGTCTGTCACAGGGCACCCACGCCCTTCCAGGCTCACATTTCAGAACAAGGGACAGCATCACCCAGAGATGTTTGGAAACCAGCAGCTTTGGAGGGATGTGGCTGGTATAGCATTCACACAAAGCACAACCTTTGCTAGCCCCTGTTGGTGGAGTGGACAGACTACAGAAAAGTCAGAAAATAGCTTAGCAACTTGCCTCCCACTTGAAGCTTTTTTTTTTTCTAAATTTTTATTTTTTATATTAATTACAATTTATTCACTTTGTAACCACTTGAAGCTTTTTAATATGTATTTTCATTTCTTTAGGAGAAGTGCCTGATGTTAGCTCATCAGAAGAAAACCTAATGAGGAGGGTCATCTGGCTCCAGAGGAAAAGGACCCTAGGAAAAAGAGCAGTTCACACTGGCTTCCTTGCTTCTTTTCATGATGGTTACAACTTTTCTTTACCAATCTCTGTAACTGATTTTTTTCCTTTAATTTTTGACAGTTTCATGCATGCTTACAATGCATCATAATCATACTTATTCCCATTGCCTTCTCTCACCCTCATTCTATTCCTGTGAACCCCCTTCTTCCCAACAGTTCCCTGCTTTCACACCTTGATCCATGTGGGCCAGTGCTTGGCTGAGTATACACACCCGCTAGCACACACATGCATTTGCAGGTCTTGTGCAAGGAACCACAGCTGAGGAGTGCTCACGTATACAACAGCCATGGCCATGCTAAATCCAGAAGAGCATTTCATAGCACTTTATCTGAAGCCCTACTCCTTTGGCTCTCACAGCCTTTCTGCCTTCCACAATGTCCCCTGGGCCTTAGAGGGGGATGATGTGTCTCTCATTCTAGCTCAGGGCAGGATACTCAACTGTCACTTACTCTCAGCGCTTTGGGGTGGTCTTTATTTAGGAAAAGAGACAGCATTAATCTTTGGGCTTCAAAAGATGACTTTTCTTTCTTCTGAGCAAGACTCTGTAGGCTCAGGAGCTACATACAGACTTTCCACTCTTCCACTGCACTCCTGACTAAGCACTTAGGCTCAATGGCTGTGTTGCCCAAGAGACCCCACTTTATCCTGACGAAGTTTCTTCTTGTCCTCTTTCTTTGCCTTCCTCATTGGTTTTCGGGGCAAGGCATATTAGAAGTGTGGGGCCTATAGAGGAAAGGAAGGACTCATTGTTAGAATGTCAGTGGTTGTGGGAAGTTAGCATGTTGCAGGTCCAGCACGACTATCTTGAGCTATCTTAGCCCCTTAAATAGCTGATTATTGTCCCCACCTGTGTGTGACCTAACATCCTGTGACTCTTGGGTAAAGCTTTTGGAACATATCCCAAATGCTAAGGAAGATCACCTGCTTTGCTGTAGCCGGCCTACCTGATGTATCACCAGCATTTGTAAAGGGACTTTCTTGTTGTTACTATAAAAACTTCACAGAATGTATTTGTCGGAACACAGTTATTTGCAACCAACTGAGTCTGCATTTCTGGGCTGTGATCACACATACTTGGCTCTACAATAAACTATTTCTTCGTTTTCTTTGAAGTGAGAACTGTTTTTCACGTTGGAGGGTTGGGGCAAGGTAAAGCTCCCCCGTCCTGAGTGGGGTGACTGGCAGAGGCAGGGCGTGCAGGTGAGGCCTTTAGCAGTAAAGTAAGAGGTTGAGGCAGCTTATCTGGGGACAGACAGAACACTCAACTTTCAGCCTTGGCCTTCAGCACCAGGTAGGAAAGGGCAAAGCAAGGTTGGGTGTGTTTAGGGGTGTACCACCCTCCAGAAGCTGGGAAGGGGAACTGAGTTCAGGCTTTGTTAGATTCAAGTAAAGTCTGCTTGCAGATTCGATTTGAAATCCACCCATTGTGGGTGAGGTGTTAACCCATCTGAGGATAGGAGAGAAGAGGAGGTCCACGGCTAGCATGGGAGTGGGAGAAGTCTTCATGGAAGTCAAAACTGTAGAGAACAGACCTAAGCGCAGAGCAAGGTCAGACATCTTGCCTGCTGCGCACAGAGGTAAGGCTATACGTGTGCCTCCCTCCAGCCTCCGGCCTCTGCCTGGGCGCTTTCCTGGTGCAGCGCCCTCTTCCTTTGCCATCAGTGGATCATTGGCGACTCCGGGTTTGGGACCCTACGAGGCGGGCTCTAGCAGAGCCAGTAAGTGGCGGCGCGTCACAAAGGCGGCGGTGGCCTTGGCCGCGGCGGGCACAGGAGTCGCCCGCGTTGCTCTCGGAGTCGGTGTGAAAGCAGCAGCGCGGGCGGAGGGGCAGGCGCGCTCGGCGTCCATGCAGCCCGAGCGGGGCGCAGCCAGCCGGTAACGGGCGGCCCGAGGCACCTACGGCCCGAGGCACCCACGCACCCAGAGAATAGTGGTGGTCTCGCGCAGCCGCTAGGCCCTCGTGGGAGGGGCGCGCCGTCCTGGTGACGGGACAGCCTTAAGTTTCCCTCGCTGGTTGGCAGCTGTGTCCTATTATAGTGGACCAAGCCCAGGTTTGGGAATATTAGCGTAGGTTCAAATTCCTCAGCCATATACTTCGAACACCATCTCACTAGGAAACTTTATTAACCTCCCAACACCTCGCACTCCCCACCCACCGCGCCACCACGTTCTCTATTTGCAAAATGAGTATGTTCCCATCTTCATAAGGGAAATGCAGAGTACCTTGGCCCCGACTTACTAATGGCAGCTTACTCTTGCAGAGCACTTTCTGCCTTCCAGAATCAGCTCATTTAAATTCCCCAAAAGTTAGGAGAAAGGAATTGCTATTTCTATCTTCATGTTAGACAGCAGGGCACAAAATAATTGACAGTAGCAATTGGCAGGCCGCCGGATCCACTTGCCTCCTGCCAGTGAGAGAGATTCTCGTTTATTTGGGGAGTCCTTGGGGGGGGGGGACATCTCAAACTCAGGGACAGGGCAAAGCTCAAGGGGTAAAGCACTTGCAGGTGTGGGAGTTATTGTCCCCAGGGCCCTTAGGATGCTGTAGCTGTAATCCTGATGGCCCTACAACAAGAAAAGAAGTGTAAACACAAGAGAAGCCAGAAGCTCTTGCATGGCAAACAAGAGACCCTGTCTCAACAAGGTGGAAGGGGCAAACGAGGGGCAATGCTCTGACTTCCACACACGCACACACATTCATGCTTGCGCACGTCTGTAGCCCACCAACATAGTCTTCTAGCCTGTGTCTTTGCCGAGGTTCAGCAACGGAGCACGCGCTCGCGCACGCGCACACACACACACACACACACGAAGTCTGGGAGGCACCACATGTTTATGCATGCTGAGGATTAAACCCTAAACTTCAAGTGTGCTAGACAGCACTCTATTACCAAGCTCTACCCCAGATCTTGATTTGGCTCTTTTGATTGTTTTCATTTTCCCAGGTTACCTTTTGGCCTCTTGATTCACTCTGTCCCCAGTAGAGGCTCATTATCTTGGACAGATTGTTTACATGCAATCAAAGAAAGGTTTTTTTGTTTGTTTGTTTGTTTGGTTGGTTGGTTTGTTAAATAGAATTTACAAGCTCAGGATATACAAGCAATTGTTAGCTTATCAGTGTGAGCACTGTTCTGGTATAAAAATAGCCACACAAACCACTCAAACTGTGGTCTCAGATATGGACGGTTTATTGGAATGCCCACTTCAAGCTGATTGCTCAGGACCACAGTAAGGACTAGAGAGCTTAACTGTGACATCTACAAGTTCTCACAGCAGGGTTTTTATAGAAAGAACCAAATGCAAAAGACATAGGGAGGGCAGTAACACATTTTGACTAACCGTGCAAAGCAATTTTACATTTTAGGCTGACTAGACAAAGTATTACAGTTAACCTTTAAGCTGATTGGTCCTAAGTGAGGTAAGTGGGGCAAGGCTTGAAGTCTTTAAGAGTCCATCCAAAGTGTAGCCAGGTGTGTAGATAAGGGTGCAGCCAGAGTGTAGCCAAGTGAACAGATAATAAAGCACGAGTTATAGCACTATTGAATCACAGCAAAATATGACGTCATCTTGACCATCTGACAGGGTCTGCTAGTGCCAGCTATGAACAACTGTTCTAGGAAGCAAACTTGAAGAGTTTAAATTTTTGAAATTAATTTCACCTTAGTAACAAAATGGATACAAAGATGGCTGCAGTTTTGTCTCAAATAGCTTGATACAACAGCACATCACATGAATTCACATTTCTGTGGCTTTGCACATCACGCTATTTCTTTCGCCTGTAATACAATCAGCTTTTCCTCTGTCACTAGGCCAGCCTGGTCTGGCTTGCATCCTTTAAAACTTAACTCAGACATCACCTTCTCTGAGAAGCCCTCAGCACTTCCTCTTTACATGGAAATTAGTCACTCCTTATTTGTGCTATCCCCTCTATATTGTGAGCATGCCTGGACCTCCTCACTTCTCTTGTTGTGTTAACACTCACTGGGTGTTTTGTTTTGTTGGAGACAGGGTCTTGCTACATAGGATGCCTGGGACTCACCGAGTAGCCTAGGCTAGCCTTGAGATTGTGCTCCTTCTGCTTCAGCCTCCTGAGTCCTGGTGGCATATTACAGGAATACGCCACCACAGGTGGCTTCTCACTGTGCTGACACTGGGTGCTGATCTGGGACCCTAGATGAACTATGCACACTTCATAGGTGTATGGTGTGTTCACCAGTGAGCCACATACATCTGGTATAGTGCCTGATACAGTTCAGTTGAGTTTGATTTCTGCTTGGGAGGTAACAGGTCTTCCTTCTTACCCCTCACAGAGAACACAAGATTGCATTCTTTCCCTATCTGGGGAAGCCCTGCTCACCACACCACTACACTGTACATCTGGGTTCTTTGATGGATGAAGAAGGTGAAGTGATCCAGCCCCAAGAGCAGAGCTGCTGGGCCACTCTGCCAGATGTGTGCCTGCGACGTGTTTTCTGGTGGCTGGGAGACAGGGACAGGTCCAGAGCTGCCCTGGTCTGCAGAAAGTGGAACCAGATAATGTACTCAGCTGACCTCTGGCGATACAGGACCATCACGTTCAGTGGGAGGCCATCCAGGGTACATGCATCCGAATTCGAGTCAGCTCTCTGGTACATTAAAAAATTTGGCCGCTACCTGGAACACTTGGAAATCAAGTTTCTGAACCCTTACAATGCAGTCTTGACCAAGAAGTTCCAGGTCACCATGCGAGGCCTCCTGTCGTGCCTTGGCAAGAGCAACAACCGTCTAAAGTCACTCTCCATCCAGCACCTGGAGCTGGACCGACTGGTCTGGAGAAACAGCATCAGGGGTTCCCTCATCAAGAGCTTGAGTTTTTTCTTAAAGAAAATGGGCAAACACCTGGACCATCTTAGCCTGAAAGGAGCACGGCTGACAGTGGAGCAAGGCTGCCACATCCTCAACTCCCTGAGCTACCTGCGGAATGAGAGCACAGCCTCAGAGCTCAACATTGAAGACTTCTTCAGCCATCACCTGGCGGTCTATGGCAGCTCCCAGTTCAACAAGGCCATGGCCACTTTCCACAACTTGACATACCTGACACTCAACTACAACTGTATCTCCGACGAGCTGCTCGAGACCTTGAGTGAGAACAATGCTGGCACCCTCCGGACCATGAACATCAAATGCCACGTTCATGACCCCCATGGACAGATAGTCTGGGGCATGTCCTGGGCCAAGCTGGCCAGGCAGGCCAGCAACCTGAAGGTGAACTTCTTCTTTGAGCGAGTGATGAAGTATGAGCACCTGGCCCGGATCTTGCTGCAGGAGATTCCACTTAGGAGCATCAGCCTAAGAAGCTGTTATTTCAGCGACCCAGACTGGTCCATGCGGCCCACTCTGATGGAGCTCCTACCCACCTTCCGGAACACCCTGCAGGTGAGTGGCAAGTTAGGCCTCCAGGAGCTTCTGAGAAGCTCTGGCTCATGGAGAAGCCCACTGCCCATTCTCTGTTGGGATTTTACATGCTCACTTCATTCTTTGTCAAAGTTCTAGATGTTACCAAGCACACACTCAAGCCTCCCACATGCTTGCAAGACCACAACAGATGACAAAGCCACTATCCACTGGCTGGCTGTCAAGCAAGAAAAGCTCCTTTATCTTTAGTGTAGCGCTGTGAAGCCTGAGCCAGGAGATGCCTTGCCAGAGATAGGCAGCCTCTTCCCACCTTCCCATTGGCTCACAGCAGTACACAGGCAGCCCTGTGGTCCCCTGTGGTCCCCTGTGGTCCCTGTGGTCAATACTAAGCAGGGAAATGGGAAGACCAAACTTGACAAAAAGCCAAATTTGATTTAAGTCACTAGAGATCTCCAACCTTCTGGGCAGTCCCAGTACCTCTGTCCCCCACCTCACCTCCGTCCGGTGCTTTTCTAGAAGTTAACATTCGAGTTCAACAATAACCACGAGTCACTAGATGAACAGCTGCATCTCCTCATCCTGGCCTGCCGGAAGCTGTTTTACTTCAAAATCTGGGCTTTCCTGGATGTTAAGTTTGTGGAGCGGATCCTGAAGAGCCAGGAGGAGGGGCAGTGCTCCCTGCGCACACTAAAGGTAAGGACCCTCAGCTGCTTGCATGAGCTGAAGCAGGGGCGTGTAGACTTGGCACTTCTGCTCTGATGCAGGTTGGAAATTGAGACAGAGGATAGATATGAGACAGGCACTGACCCTGAATCTGTCCATGGGAGATGACCAGCCCCATAGACAGGATCTGGCGGTCCCTTCTGCTCTGTCTCCTCAGGGTTCTACATCCATGAATCAGATTTTATTGAAGATGTATAGTTTTTGTTATTTCCTAAACATAGCATCCATATTATAATGGTTTTATGAACAACCCAGAGATAATCTGCACATACTGTTCCATTTTACATAAAGGACTTGAACATCCATGTATGCATCTTGGTAGCCAAAGGGGTCCTGGATTTAATCCCTTGTGAATACCAAGGGAAACTGTGCTTATGCTTTTTCTGATTCTACCATTAATTTGGGGTGTATAGATGCATTTGGATGATTGTCAGATCCTAAGTGATGTAGTTTTACAGTGTGTGTGTGTGTGTATGATGTGTGGTGTTTCTTTATTGGCACAGGTGAGAATTTATACAAACCGATATGAGACAAATGAAGAGGACAGGACCCTACGTGAAATTTACCGGAAATACAGAAAGCTGATCGATTCAGAACTTAACTATTTTGTCATCGCCTACCCCATGATGTAAAGAGCGCCCTCCAGAGGAAGACATCTAGATTCACTTTGAACCTGAAAACCCTGTTCTCAGTGAATTACATTTGGGACTCCCATGCTCTCATCCCTTTTTCTTCTTTCTTTTCGCCAGTTCCACACCATCATGAAAAGCCTGGCAAAGGCTGAAATGCTGGTGATTGGAGAGGTCCCAAGCATCTTTAAAGTGCTATCTTTACCAACAATCCTGGATGACTTCTTTTTGTCATTTGCTGTAGTTTTTTTGTAGTTGTTGTTGTTTTGGATTTGTTTTGTTGTTGTTGTTTTGTTGGTTTGGGGGTTTGTTTAGTGAGTTGGTTGTTTTGTTTTAATTTGGGCATTCCCACTCAATCACAGAACAAATTCAAAGTAAGTTTGCTAGGGAGTCTAACCTGTGCTTACCTGGACAGGTGTGACCAGCCAGTACACAAACCTTCTACCAACCAGCTTTACCCATTAGAAATGCTTTGCAGCCAGGTGGTTGATAACGCACACTTTTAATTCTAGCATACGGGAGGCAGAGGCAGGTGGATCTCTGAGTTGGAGTCCAGCCTGGTCTACAGATCCAGAACAGCCAAGGCTACACAGAGAAACCCTATTTTGAAAAACAAACCAGCAACAACAAAATACTTTGTATCCTGGCTGACCTTTATATCAGAGCCTCTTGACCTTGAGGTTGTCTGGGCCTGATCACATGCAATTAGAACCCACTAGTATGTCCTAGGATGAAGCAGGACCATTCCCACTATTAGAGGGGCCACTCAAGAACAGGAACTGCTCATAGAAGGAACTCGGTGCTATGTTATCAGCCCTGTGAAAGACTCCTGCCTCAGCTTAGCTACTTTTAGTTTTCTATTCAGGTGACAATCATGCTCAGCCTGCTGTGGACAATTAGTCCTCACATGTGAGGGCAGACTAGAAGTGACCATTACACCCATGTTTATAAAGAATCTGTAATGTAGTGTGTCCTAATGTAATGTAATGTGTCTATATTTAGAATTATATCTTACTATATAAACTACATCTAAAGACATGCTTAACACATAGAAGAGGTGTAACAAAATTGATTTGGGGTAGAATTTTGGTGGGTATTGTCTGTCTTCTCTCAATGACAGTGTCATGGTTAGTCACTAAAAACATGATCTAACATGTCTCTGATCATGAGTAACCACTGGGTCCTGAGGCTGGGTTGCCATTATTGCTTCTGTTCCATTGATGTCTTTTAAAGCTTCTTCATCTTTTAAAATCAACTATAAAGTATTAGGTATTGTTATGTCCCCCCCTCCCTTCCCTCTCACCATTCTTCTTGTAAATCCTTCCAGTCTTTTTTTTTTTTTAAACATCATGTGTCCTTTTGGCCCCAACCTACCACTCATCCTCACCATCAGACATCCTCCCTTATCTATTTTTACTCTCCCTTCATCTCCTTCCTAGTACCTTAAGTTTTAGACACATTTAGCTTCATTTACATATTCACATGTATACATAGCAGGTTACGATCTACATATGAGAGCATGTGGCTTCAATTTTTTTTAGTTTGGGTCACTTTGCTTAATATACTTTCCATATTCATTTATTTTTCTGAAAATTTCCTAATTTTAGTTTTTATTATAGCTGAATACAATTGCTTTGTATATGGGCCTGTACTAGCTAATTTTATGTCAACTTGACACAAACTAGAGTTATCAGAGGGAGAAGACTCAATTGTGAAAAGGCATCCATAAGATCTGGCTGTAAGGCATTTTCTTAATTGGTGATTGATAAGGGAGGGTCCAGGACATAGTGAGTAGTTTTACCTCTGGGCTGGTGGTTCTGAGTTCTAAAAGAAAGCATGCTGAGCAAGCCATGGGCAAGCAGTAAGCAACACCTCTCCATGACCGCAGCATCAGCCACTGCTTCCGGGTTTCTGCCCTGTGTGAGTTCCTGCCTGATTTCCTTCAATGATGAACAGGGATATGGAACTATGAGTAAAATAAACCCTTTCCTCCCCAAGTTGTTTTTGGTTGTGGTGTTTCATCACAAAAATAGTAACCTTAACTAAGAGCCACATTTTCATTATACATTCATCTGCTGATGGGCAGAAATGGGTTCCATTGCCTAGATATCATGAACAAGAGCAGCAATAAACAGATATGCAAGTGTCTCTGTGAAAGGATATTGAGTCCTTTGCATTATGCCCAGAAATGGTATAGCTGGGTCACATGGTAGTTTTTAGTTTTTGAGAAACCTCTATACTAATTTCCATAACAGCTGTACTAGTTTGCATTCCTTACCAGTAGTGAATAAGGGTTCCTCTCTCCCCACATTCCTGCCAGCATTTCTTGTCAGATTTCTTGATGATAGCCATGCTGACTGGAAGAGGTAGTATCTATTCCAAATTAGCTTTAACTTGCATCTCCCTGATGGCTAGGGTGTTGAACACTTTTAAAAACATTTATTGGCCATTTCTTCTTTTGGAAAGTATGTATTTCATTGGCCTGTTTGTCTATTCCTTTGAGACTTTTGTGCACAAACTTGCATTTTGCTTTCTTTTTCAGTAGCTATGGATGACTACAGTACTGCAATTCCCTTACTGGGTGGCTCATTTCAGAGTCCATGCTTTTGCCTGTCTTACTTTTGGTAAGATATAGTTATGTTTGTCAGACCTTTGTTAAAGTTCACAGCTAACTTTTTTCTCGAAGCACTTTCACAACTATGCTATGGGACTATTCTGGGATGCTTAATGTTTACCTGACATTCAGAAAAAAAAAATCATACTGGTGAAGGCAAAGGGGCTCCCACCTATAGGAAGCTCCCAGGTCTGATGGAAAAGACACCTTACAGCATCATAATATGATGAAGCTGGGGTGGCCTAAGGAGTAAGCCAGCCAGCCTGTGCAGCACTGAGGTCAGAAGGGGCTCTCAGTTGGAATCCTGACCACCAGGAAGACAGGCCTAATACTGCGATACTTTCCTCTGAAACACTGTCAAAGCCAGTGGCTTTCAACCTTCCTGATACTGTCACCCTTTAATATAGTTCCTCATGTTGTGGTGACCCCCAGCCATAAAATTACTTTGTTGTTATTCCATAATTATAATTTTGCTACTTTTATGAATCAGAATGTAACTATATGATATGCAGGTAGTCTTATACGACCTCTGTGAAAGGGGTCACCACCCACAGCTGAGAACTGCTGCTCTAACCATAGATAACTTCAGTTACACAAAATATGCGAGCATGAGTACATTCTTATGAACATGTTTTCTACAAAATAGTAGATTCATCTTACAGGTCTGTACTACCCAGTCATATCTGGCTGGATAGTAGAAGCTCCAGTCTCCGTTCCTGCTTTTGCATTGGCCTAATACCACATCTTATACCATGTTACCCCTAAAGACCTCCAGAGACAATGAGAGCAAGAAATACATGCAAGAGCTTAGTGTGATTGTTAAAAATAATTCTTAACTCATGGCCCCTTGACAGAATGGTTTCACTAGGTCCCCCAAATATAAGGAAGAGCTACTGTTCTGGCTCTCCTGAAAATTGAAATAGACTTAAGATCAGGAGAACCCTGTTGAAAAATACAGAGCCAGAGAGATCCCCAAATGCATATATTTTTGAGTGAGTATCTTTTCTAATGGTAACACTCTGCTGTTCATAGGCCATTTGCCCTGTGGTGCCTTGACCAACATACAAGTACATACGTGGTGCTACATAGGCTTAATCTAATATGAAAACTGATGACACAACAGAATTTCTTTTGGGAAGACTCTCAGGGCTCAAGCTCCAGGTCCCTGAGGCCTGCATTCTCAGATAATTTAGACCACTAATTTATGTGGCCCAAGTAAGTTGCTCAACCTGTTTAAGCCTTGGTTTTAGGTATTTGTACAGTGAGAGGAGCTGACAAATGCCATATTCCTAAAGTTCTTAGGATGCAAATCTTGAGACTCAGATCTGTAGTGCTGAGCATGGACACCAGTAGCCACATTGTCCCAAACACCTAGCTTTGGAAGTCAAGTAGCATGGGCATGAGATCTGATCTGCCAATTGTTGTGTGTCAATTTATCATATTAAACTAATATAATACATGAATCTGACTCATAGAGTTTCAATAAATGCCCACTTTTCTATTTAATCAATGAGGAAATAGTCTTATAAAAAGGTGCTCTGTCCAGAGTCACCAGCTTGTTAGCAGCAGACTCAATGCCCTAGTTTCCAGATTTAGAGCTCAGATCTCTGTTCTCCAGGTAAGCAATAAAACAGGAAGGATCCGTCCCCTCTCCCTTCCCCAAACACAGTTCATGATGGACAGATGACAACAATTAGCTGTTGAGTATGTGTCAGTGAAGAATAAATTTACACAGTTCCACGCACACCACAACTCCAGAAAGGAGAGATGACTACCCAGGTCACTTAGAAAGTGCTGGAAGTACCAAATCTAACCCAACTTCAGAGCAATGCTCCCACACCCTGAAGATTTGGAAACCATTATTTTGTCATTCAATTAATGAAGAAGGGATCAATGGAAACTCTGCAGTGCTTTAGCCTAGAAATGCTACTGTGTAAGACACAAAATACTGTTGAGATGTTGGGAAATCAGGGCTGGAGAGATGGCTCAGCAGTAGAGAGTACTGGCCATCTCCTGGCCTCCTCAAGTGCCAGGCACACATGTGGTGCACATACATGCATTCAAGCAAAATACCCACCTACATTAAAAAAAACAAAACAAAACAAACGTTAGACTACCTTTATTACAAGAGCTGAAGAATGGAAGAGGGGAGTTAGGGAAAATTATTCCATGAACATTTGTGGTCTAAACCAGTAGAGACAGTTTCACATGCTGAATGTATGTGAAAGTCTTGCCTTTAAATCCCCATCACGTGGTGCCTAGAAAACTGCTTCTTTAAAAAAAAAAAAAAGAAAAGAAAAGAAAAGAGAAAAGAAAAGAAAAAAGAAAAGGAAGAAAGAAAAACTACTTCTCCTTATAACCTGCCATCCTATCCTAAGCCTGCCCCTCT